GGCCTGGACGCGCGGGGGCGAGTCCTCGGCCGGAGGGGGCGGGACCCGGGGCTGCCGACACTCGGCTCGCGTGGGGCCTTTGTCTTTCTTCGGCACCAGCCCCGCGGCGGGGGGCGTGGCCCTGGCGTACCGCGCCGCGGCCTTAGACGACCCCGGCGGGGTCTCGGCAGGCTGCGACCGGGATTCGGACAGAGGGGACAGAGGCGGGGTAACCTTAGTTTGGGTGTGTGTGGCCTTGACTTTCGCAGATTCAGACTCGGGCGGAGGCGGGCCGTCGAGGCGAGGGGGCGTGTCCTCTAGGCTGTCCAGGAACAGGCGAGCGGTCACTACCTGACCCAGGGCGCCTCTGAGCTGAGGGCCAGGCCCCTCCTCAGCCGCCAGGACTTGCCCAGTGGGCTCCTGGTAGTGGGGAGGGGTTTGGCTTTTCTGGGGTTTGGGGCCTTGACTCCTAAGCAGGGAGGAGCTTCTTGGTGCAAGGGTGGGATGACCTTGGGGGGTGACAGGGGGAGCTGGAGTGGAGACCAGTGGTGTAGGCATGGAAGCCAGAGGAACAGGGGTGTTGGCTGGGGGCGCAGAAGCTAAGGTTGGGGGCATGGGAGGGACAGCGCCGAGAGGTACCCAGGGACTGAACTGTGGGGTCCAGAAGACCCCAGGAGGGCTCGGGCCCCAAAACATATGTGGTGTGAACGCTTGAGGAGCAGGAGGCCTCCCCACATAGAAGGCCTCAGGGGGACCAGGTCGGGCCACACTGTCCCAATGTGGGACACTGTTAGGCTGGATTCCCGTGGAACTAAGGTTCTCCACAGGGGCAGGGGAGGTCTGTAGACTGATGGGGACAGAGACCTGAAAGGGAGAGAAAAGGCAGGTGGTCCACTGGCTCCCTCTTCCTCCAAGACCCCCTTTGCAGCCCTTGCAGGCTCCTCCCTCCCCCATCTCACTGGAGTGGGGCCTGGAAGGTTCCGAGGTAGCACCCAGGTTCCATCACCCTGGCCTCTTTCTGGAGGCTGTTCAAGTTTCTGGGCCTGTTCAAGCTTCCTCCGCTGCCGCCATTGGTATAAAATATCATCCTCTGGCCTCAGAGGTGCTCTGGTGGAGGCTGGGGCTGGAACAGGCGTGGGAGCCACTGCTGGGGTTTCTGTGGGGTGATTACAAAAAGAGGAGTGGGTGAGACAGGGGCCAGGGTGGGCTCTTTTGCACTGTGCTAATAGTCTCAGGTGCCTCCAGCCTTCACTCCTGCACCCTCCTCCCTCCTCCATTTCTGCTCCCCCTCCCACCTCCCCGTCCCTCCCACCCGTTGCCAAGAGCAACCCAAGGACAGCCTGTGCACACACCCTTCAAATGTACCAGAAGGTTATTCAGACAGGTTTTCCAGATGTTTTTAACTCATCTCTGCAGTTGAAGTGGGGAAAGGCCAAGATCAGAGGAGAGAGCACTCATGAGCTTTTCAACTGTCATTCAATCCTTCATTCATCAACAAATATTTATAGCACTCTTACTATATGCCAGGTGCTATTCTTGTAACAGTAGTGAACAAGACAGACCTTGCAGCGTCTGCCTTTTACCTGCTTTACCACCTCACCTAGGTCCAACAGCCACTTCCTCTCCGGTTCCCTTACTCACCTCTTCGCCAAGTCTGGTCCCCACCTCTAACCTGGGAAACCCTGAATCAGATCAGACCCCTCCTGGTTCGGAAGCCCCTGAGGCTGGTAAAGTGCAAAACCCTTTGCACGTGGGGTTCCTCTGCCTGGGTCACTCTTTCCTCTTGTGTCCACCGGGTTCACTCACTCAAGTCCTTCAGGTCTTTGTGCTATTTTTCGTGAGCGCTTCCTTGACTACGCTACTCCAAACTGCAACAACCTCCAGCCCTATGCTCCTTGCTATTCATTTTTTTCCTTAGCGCTTAACAATTTCTAACATCCTCAACAGTGTACTTCCCCGCTTACTAATGTCCGTCTCGGTAACGCAGGCTACCCGAGGGCAGTGATGGTGCTGTTTCATCCATTACCACATCCCCAGTGTGAAGAACAGGGCTGGTGTGATCAGTGTTTAGGGCATAAATGCAGACCGGGGCTGCGAGTAGAGCAGTGACTGAGGGCAGGGCTACCGACTGTCCTCAGTCCCATGGGGCAAACAGACATCATCCCACCGCCCAGAGCATCACTTCACAGTCACGATCAGTGAGGCCACCGTCATCTTCAGAAGTCCTGGCACCTGATGCTGTACAGAGAAGCGGGCATCCTCCCAGGTCTTTCCTTTCTCCCCCTCACTCTATATTCTGTGATTCTACTTCCACATCCTGCCACCTCCTTCTGCTCCACTCCTCGGGCTCTGGCTCAGATGAAACCACCAGCTTTTCTCACTGGGGGCCGATAGCAGCCAGTGCGTGTGCATTAACATCCAGAGAAAGATTGTCTCCTCTTAGCTCAGCTCAGAATTTTCCCGTGGCTCCCCAGTACTAGAAAGATAATGACCAAATGCCTCACTTTACTCATATGACCCAATGTAATCGGCCAGTCTCATCCTCCTTATCCCATGCCACCCTCACCCCTGGCTCGTGCCTTTTCTAGCCCATTTTCTAACTAGTTCTTCCAGGCCCTATGTACCTGGTACACAGGACACAGGACACTGTCCCCATCTTCATCATGCAGGTCTCCATTTAACAGCACTTCTTCCAAGAAGGCCTTCTCTGACTTCCCAGCCCCATGATCTCCTTCTGCCTGGCTCTTATTTCTGCTTACATTTCAAAACTTTCTTGGGGATGATGGAGCTGTTCTCTGTCCACAGTCATTATGCTGAGGACCCTGAAGAAGGGACCAGGTACAGTTGGTTCTCTATGGAATCCCGAACCCCTCCCTCAGGGCCTCATCAACAGTAGATACTATTTATTAGAAGAATAAATACATTTAATCTAATAAACAAAGAGTGGTAACTTTTTATGAGGAGAAAACAGAAGCTCGGGAAGGAAAGGCAATAAAAGATGAAGTCAGAGGAGTGAAGACTCAGACAGGCATAACACCAAAGGGGATCAGACAGAGGAGTCCTGGAGACACAGAGGGTCTTTCCTATGGACCTCACTGCACCCCAGGATCAGAGCAGAGTAATGGTAATCACAGCTGTGGTCCTTCTTAATCCCATCTCTGAAGCCTGTTTCATGTTTCATCAAAGTTGCCTGGTTTATAAAGCAGGCAGAGTATGCAGTAACTGAACATGGACAGGTTTTGGCTGAACATGAAATCGCCACATTCAGCCAGTTTGTATGTGTAGAGACAAAAATTTCGTATAGTTTGGTGTCACAGATCCAAAGCAAGAAATACGACTATTTACTCTTAAGTGAGATTATAAATAGGTTTCATATTCTTTAGGTCAGGTTTTGCTGTCAAATCAGGCGTGGTGCCAAAGTTACAAAAAGTCTTCTGATTTTGAAGTTTTGTGCTCAGAATTACAGGAAGGATGCAGACAGAGAATCTGGCAGGCTAATGACAGCCACTGTTAACAATTGCTCCATGCATTCATCAAGTCCCAGAATCCTCCCACACCCTAGGAGTGGAGAATAATTTCTATCTCCATTTTGAAGTTAGGGAGACAAGGTCCAGAGAGCCAGAGTGTGCCCAATCCTTGCCTTCCAGAACTTACCGGGTATGCTGGGTTCATAGCCCTTGCCGGAGTCAGGGGTGAAGGGCATGGTAAAAGGAGAGAGGCCATCAGAGCTGGTGGGCACTGAGGAGCTGCTGGCATCACTGGGGCTGAGGGAGGAGGAGATGGAGGCCTTGCTGCAGAGAGAGGACAAAAGTGAGGCCATGAGGGTCTCGGAGACAGGCATGCAGGCCTGAAGCCACAGGAGTGGGGAGGATGACGGGGCGGGCAGGCACCTGCGTTTGAGCAGCTTGGCAGCCCTGCTCTGCAGGCTCAGGGTCTCCAGGTCCAGCAGAGGGGAGCTCCACGTGTTGAGGTTCTGCAGGGGAGAAGGAGTCAGGGGCCAGGTCCCACTGCAAAGACCACTGGGAAAGCGACTCAGGACAAAGGCCTGCAGGACAAGTCTGTATTCCACCTGGTACCCTCACATGCTGGCTTCAAATCTGTTCCTCCCCCTCAGGGAAGCGAGACCCAGTTTCCACATATGGGTCCACACACCCCACCGTGTAATCATGACTGCCGCTACAGAGGTTGACACTAACTTCCTGATCAGGCCTGTTAATCACAACACTGTCCTCTGGCTCACAGTGATTTACCTCAAGCAAGAATCCTTGGGCATCAGATAGAACGACTAGAATAGTCCCCTTATTTCCCCAGGAATAACTAAGTTGGAAGCTGCCTAACTATTTGGAGGGGAAGATCTGCCCGAGACTGAGCCGAGCAGAGAACAGAGAGCCAAGAGATTTAGGTCCCTGCCAACACTTCAAACACCTGCATTCAGCCATACCTGAAAGCATCTGCTTTTAGATTTCTTGATTAACTTATATAGCTAATCTCGGCTTCCCTTTTGTTTATACTTCCTTTTCGTTGAACTGGGGACAGATTCCTATTCTGCCACAGGGTGGGTGCTGTCAGGCACAGAGGAGGGAAATGATGGCAATGTCACCTGCTTTATTTCCTGAAGGGGGGCCACAGCCTTCACCTGAGACACACTGGCCATCTTGGCCAGAGTCGGGACAGCTGTACTGGAACTTCCTTCGGATTCACTGGCTCCTGTTGAGAAGATCTAATTGAACTGGGGGGCCAGGAATGGCTGCCGGGGCCACTTTTTAGGCCGGGAGTAGATATGACTGAAGCAGGTACCTGAGGCAGTTTCACTGCTGAGGCCTGGAGATTCAGGCTGAAGCCACCAAAAGTCAGCCAGGGTTGAGCCTGGGGGCTGCCGTTCCTCTCGGCTTGTTGGCTGAGCCTGGCGGAATCTGTTTATGTACCTGTGAATGTTCAGGAATGGGAAGTGGGGGGGGGAGGGCCAGATAGGAACAATAATAATCACAATCGACGAAGTTTGTGATGTTTATCACACACCACCGCAGCAGTTGGGAGCTGTCTCAACTGCTGTTCTCTCATGCATAGTAATGCAATTGTTCGCTGGGCACAAAGCCACTCTTCTTCAGGTGCATTTGCCAAGTGCCTTCGGAACCCTATGGCTCATGTAACTAGGTTCTTGACCAAGAGGTGTGATTCTGCGAAGTGAATGTGGTTGGGAGCCATTTTGCTCCATCAAGGAGAGGGCAACAGCCCAGGGGGCGGAGAGCCAAGAGAGAAGGAAACTGTCTTTGATACGTCAAGTGCTGTGTCCGTCCTGGTTGCTTCTGCCTGGACTGTGATGAGGGAGAAAGAAATGCTACCTTGCTTGAGTCACAATTAATTTGAGACTGTTAGATATAGCAGCTGTACGTGTGTCCTGCAATTCCAAGGACTCAAGAAGTGACGGGCATTGTTACAGATGCTTACAGACAGGTAACTCAGTGAAAGCTTAATATTATAGCACCTGAGGGTACGTGTTATTAATATCCCCAACTTATGGATGAAGAAACTGGGACTGCGATCACAAAGAGAGTAAGTGACTAAGCTGGGATTTGAACCCAGGCACTGTTGCTCCAGAGCTCTCAGTAACACACATGTATGGTCTGGAAGTGGTGATGATTATTAGCAGCATACCTCCTACCCCAATCTAAATATTACCCCCACACACACCCAGGGCTTCAAGTACTTACTTGGCTACCACAGAATCTCCACTGTCAATCAGGGTGGGTGGCGGGGTAGAGGTGTCTGAACTGGATGGCCAGGACGCCTCAAACTGCTCAGAGCGTCTGGGACCTGTGGTGGGGTCGGGACCTGTGGTGGGGTCGGAACCTGTGGCAAGAGCCTCAGGAGCTTCTGAGAGTCTGGATCTCTGGTTCCTGGATGGGCTCAGGGTCTGAGATAGGGAAAGTGGGGAGAAAAAAAAAGTGAGGCCTGCGGTATCATCCCTGTAAAAGAACAAAGACATGTATGAAATCTCAGGCCAGAGGAGGGGAAACACATGCTGTAATGGTAACAACTCAGAGTGTGCTGTGATGGGGGATCCTGGTGGCAGAGGGCTGGGTAAGGGTATGCTGTGGGAAGGGAGGAAGGACTATCTTAGTCACTCACCCTCATCTCTATCACTTCTTCCTTGCCACTAGGCTGGCACACACTGGGGGGTGTCCTCACCTTGGGGTGTGAGGTCTGGCTTTGGGATGGCCAATAGTGACTTTGCCCCAGGGGAGCTTCCTCAAAGGGGTTGTCCTGGATGGAGAAAAGTGGCAGGCTGCAAGGGGAGAGCGAGGTTGGCAGACGCACAGCAGATCACCACCATCCTGTCTGTGTATACTGGGGTGAGGAGGGGGCTGCAGCTGGGGAACAGGAAGAGCTGGATAGAACAAGACCACAATTCCAACGGATTGCTGGGGGAGGGACTATAATACCATGCAGTAAGGCTGCACGGCTGCACACTCAGAATACCCGGACCATGATCACCACTAGCCCTTGAAGCAGTCTCAGGAGAGCCCAGGAACTGCTGGCCGTCTTCACCCCAGACCAAACAAGTCAGACTATTTGCAAGTGGGGTTAGGCATCAGTATCTGTTCCCGGAGTCCCATGACTAGGCCCCATTAATTGTACATTTCCCATATGTCTTAGGGACGCTAAGAAGAAACGGGTACACGGCAACCATCCCTATCAATGTCCGGGCTGGCTTACGCGAAAAAGTCACAAAACAACACCTGTGGGGTAAATTTCAAAATTAAATCACTAAATTCCCAGATACCCCTGGAAAGACAGCAGCGAACAGAACAGAAATCAGGGAAAGCGCTGGGACTACTCGGAGGAACCCGAGACGCTAAGCGTTGCCGGGGTTGAGGTCCCAGGCTCAGGTGGCCAAAGGCCGTGAAGCATCTTGGGAGTTGTAGTTCCGGCGCGGTTAAGTGCCGGAGTCTCCGGACCCCGCCAATCTGATCCCTGCAAGTGCTCTCACTCTGGGGTTCCTCCCTAGGCCTCCTTTCGCGCCCGGAAGAGGGGTCGCCCTCACCTGCGGTCCATCTCGCAGCCATCTCCGCGCTTCCGCCTGCTGGGCTCCGGGGTGGGACCCGCTCCACGCGCATCTCGGTCGCCTAGCAGTGCCCCTTCAGCCCCGCCCCTCCGGAGCGCCCGCGCGGGAAGAGAGCGGGCCTGCGAGGCGACCAATGATAGAGAGGAAAAGAAAAGTCACTGGAAAGTGACCAAAGGGAGGTGTCTCCCTACTGGCTGCAACGCCGGACTGCCTGAGAGCGCGTGTTTGATTGGAGCATCGCAGCGTGCCGCAGTAATTGGCAAGCCCGTGGACCAATGTAAAGGGCCCGGGGCTGCGCTCGCGGCTGGGAGGGGCCCTAATAGTACACTCGTTTTCCTGCAGTCGTGGCAGCTTACCACTCCCCCTCTCGCTGCAGAAGTCGCCGCCTGACTCCCGTCTACCTACCGTTTTCCCCGTTACAGGAGCAAGCCGGGAGGCTGTCCTCTCTAACCACTGTCCCTCCATCCATCGGCCGGGCTAGCCAGTCCCGCCCAGTCCTCTAGCCATTTCCTTCTCGCTGCAAGAGCAGCTGGTGGTGCCAAGTGCCAGGCCTGGGCTGTTGGCCCAGGTGGTGGGATCAAAACGAGCTATTTCGAGCCCCAGCTAGGGCCCCCGGGGGGCCAGCCTGGACTGTTCGTGCCCACGCCCCCTGGCCGTCGCTCACCTGGCAGACACCGCTGCCCTGCGCACCCGCGTCTGAGTCAGAGGCACAGAATTAGGCTCGGCTTGCTGGGGGCTGGGCCCAGGACCGGGCTGGGACGGGAGTAGGGTCTGTTCTGTGTCCTTTAGACAGGCTGGGCCCACTGCCACATTCCCGGTACCCAGGAATCCGCTCCTAAAAGGGTCATCTGCGTCATCCCCAGGGCCACCTGCGGGGCGGGGTGGACTAAAGGGGTTGGGAACTGGGCAGTGGCTTTTTCAAGCCCTGGGTCCCCAATGCCGTGCTGTGTCCCTACCCCAGCAAGACTCCGCCTCCTCAGCCTTAGTTTCCCCTTCAGGAAATCGGGGGGTCCCAATAACACCTCTCTGGCATCCAGCAGGCGCTTAATAAATGGCTAAGTCATTGTTGGGCTTTCTAAATAAGGCTCTATTAATGGCCGGGTCTGGCGGTGGTCCCAGTGTCCCCGGGCGGCCCGCCGAGGGGCGGACACAGGGCGTACTATAAAGGGGCGGCGGCGCAGGCAGGGGCACTGCGGAGCCTTGGGGCGGCGGAGGAGCAGGATGGAGATCCCGGTTCCTGTGCAGCCGTCTTGGCTGCGCCGCGCTTCGGCCCCCCTGCCCGGGCGCCTCTTCGACCAGCGCTTCGGCGAGGGCCTGCTGGAGGCTGAGCTGGCGACGCTTTGCCCCGCGGCGCTGGCCCCCTACTATCTGCGAGCACCCAGCGTGGCGCTGCCTACCGCCCAGGTGCCAGGCCTGGGGGAGGGGCGGGAACCCGACCACTTCCTGGGCCGGGGGTCCCCCTCTTTCTGAGGGGGGCTGCGGGAATGACCCTGGACTGAGCTGGGGGAGAGTGGGCTACTCTAGGGGGCTTCTGGAACCTCGGAGGCCAGTTGAATGAAGGGGGCGGGGGATCCCTGTGGATTTGAGGAGGGTCTCAGCTCTGAGGGTACTGAGTGGGGGGTAGGGCAGGGGGTGGGGGGCGTCGCTCTGAGAAGCGTCTTGGGGTCTCTGAAAGAATAGGCTCCTGATCCAGGGAATCTGGGGGCAAAGGGCCCCAGTGAATCCCGAGGGGAGGGCGTGTTTTGTTACTCTTGGAGAAGAGCTCGGAGACTGTGTGGTGACTGTTTCCTGGAGAGGTAGAGGGGAGCAAGGGGCCTGTGACTTGTGAAAGGGGGCCCTGGCCCCTCTGAGAAGTGGGGGGAGGAGAACTAGCTAACTGCCGAGGACGCAAGTGGTCGCGTGACTCGAGTGGGAGGGTAGAAAGAGGACTCTGGAGACTGGGGGGAAGAAGCATCTTGGCGACTTCGGACAGGGGGCCCCAGCGCTCTGAGGCTAAGGGGGCGGGGCCCCCGGGGCTTGGAGGGTGGGGAGGCTGGGGCCCCAGGCTCTGAGGGTGAGGGGGCGGGGAGTCGAGTGCCTGTGGGGACACCGACTATGCAGTCGTGGACACTGCCTCACCCAATGAGGGGGGAGGCCCCTGACCTCGCAGAGGAAGGGGGCCCCATCACTTTGGAAGGGAGGGGTCTCGCAGTGATTATAGGGGGAGGGGTGATTGCAGCTATTCTGAGCGAAGAGGTCTTTGCGGATTGCGAATAAAAAAGGGGCCCCCTTGATTCGGGAGGCTAGGGTCCCCCGCTGTGCGGAACCTATGGGGAGGGGCTTGCGGGGTCCCGGGAGCCTCGCCCCGCCCGATAATAATCGGGCTGTGCGCAGGTGCCAACCGATCCCAGCCATTTCTCGGTGCTGCTGGACGTGAAGCACTTCTCCCCGGAGGAAATCGCCGTCAAGGTGGTTGGCGAACACGTGGAGGTGCATGCGCGCCACGAAGAGCGCCCGGTGAGCCTGCTGGTTGGGGGATGGGGCGGGGCCGGAGCCCAACGGCGCGTTCCCTGGAGTGGGGAGGGGGGACAGGGAGGGCGGGGCCGCTCAAGCCTCTCTCCTTCCAGGACGAGCACGGATACGTCGCCCGCGAGTTCCACCGCCGCTACCGCTTGCCTCCCGGCGTGGACCCTGCAGCAGTGACGTCCGCTCTGTCTCCCGAGGGTGTCCTGTCCATCCAGGCCGCACCGGCCCCGGCCCAGGCTCCACTGCCGCAGCCACCACCAGCTGCTGCCAAGTAGGGGTCTGGGCAGGCCTGAACCCCGGGGGCCTCTACAGGCTCCCTCTTTTAAAGCCGACCTGACTCCGCCCAGCCAGATGTCCCCAGCCGCGCCAAGACCACGCTCCCACCCAATCTGGAATCCTGCCCTGATCCTGACCTACACTGGGCCCTGATAACCTAGACCTTCCCACTGACACCCCTGTTCTCACAACCCCCTCCCGATTTCAAACCACCACCCCGCCTCCACCTCCCTGGCTTCCAGACCTCAGGAGCACAGCTGCTCAGCCTAGTCTCCCTCACTTCCCCACTGACCTCACTTTCTTGGCATATCTCATTGAGACTCCCTCCTATGTTTCCTTCTGACTCCTCCAAGAAAAAATATTCACACCCCACCTCGAGCCACTCCCCCCTGACACCGGATTATAGTGTAGACTGCGCTGCCCCCAAACCAGTCAAGCATTTCCTCCACCCCTTGCATGTCCCAGGCATCCCACTGAAGGCCATCCAGGTCTGTTCCCCAAAATTCTGGATCTTTCCCCTCATTCCAACCAGACACTCCACTTCAACCCTTCCCATCTTGACTTAAAATTCCAGCCAGCCACCCCTAGATTCTTGAGCCCCTTCTCTGACCCCCACCCTTGTATACCTATGTACAACCAGAGCTCTCAAGTTCAAATTGGACCCCACCATCCCATCTCCTGTGACTGCAGATGTCACAGACCCCCCACCCCCCAGCTCCAGCTAACCAGACCCCAGTCTTTTTGTCTTGACCCCCGAGTCTCCAAAATATCCTAGGCAACCCACTTTCTATGCTCCTCCCACCAGATTCTCCAAGCCCCACGAAGCAGCCCCGTTCCACTACCCACGATCTCTTTCTCCTTGAAGTCCCTCCGTCCCGTCTCCCCACAGCTACCTAGGCCCACTCCCCCAATAAATGTGCTAAAGCTATGTCAACTGCCTTGTGTCTGGCCTGGGAAGAATGAGCTGGAGCACCAGAGGCTGGTGTGGGGAAGGGGAGTTTATTGGGGCCATCACTGTCGCTCATACATTTCCCGAAGAATCTTCATGCTTTCTGAGTACCGAAGCTGGTTCCGATGAGATGCCTCCTTCCACCTGGGGCAGGCAGGCAGAGGGAGGACTTAGCAGCTGGGGCAGCGGCCACATGAGGCCCAGCGGGCTGAAGACACTCACCTCTGCCGGATGCGTTTCCAACGTTGCATGTTGCGGTAGATGAGCGTGGAGGGCGAGGGCTCTGGCTCCGAGGGCTGTGTGGACAAAGCCGAGCTGGGTGGCCATGCCCAAGCCCCACAACTGCCCTACCGCCCTGGGCCAGCCTGCATACGCACCTCATCAGCAGCAGCACCCTGGATCTCAGGCTGCAGAGGGGATGGGATGCGGGATCTGCAGGCCTCCCCGGGGGGCCCAGGGGCTGTGGGCGGAGGCAGCTTGTACACATCACGATTCTTGGTGTTGGTGACCTCTGACCCCTGGGGACAAAGGCCCCACACAGAGACCAAGGGAGTCAGAGAAGAGCACCAGGCATATATATACCTTTCTCTCCTGCCTTTCCCATCCATGACAGACAAGGGTTTTCTCACCAGGACCTGTACTTCGGAGTTAACGTCTGAAGGGTGTGGGGCCTTAATCAGCTTGCAGGACAGAACTGCCTGCTCCAAATCTGTTTCCTGCCTTGCCGAAGGGGTGCCCATCTATGCCCCGAGGCCCAGCGGTCACACCTACTGTTACTAGGGACCCCTGACCTCGGCAGTTCTTTTTCCTCCCTGGGCCGGAGAGCCACGCCTGTCTACCCCAGGGAGCTCCATCCTTACCCTCAACCCAAAGGCTTATATCTGCCTGCTGCACCGACCCGGAGTCATCTGAGAGACACATAGAGCTGTCTGTCTACCCCATAGCTTGGGGGCACCATCAGCTACCCCACCTCCTCATCCTCAAGCAGTGGGGGCAGCGGGGAGCTGGGCGAGCGTTCACACTCGCGCACTGAAGGGCTGTTGCGCATCCAGGCGCGGCAGATGGGGTAGAGTGGTGTGTTCTCGCTGAACTGGGCCAGGTCCACACTCCGGTCAAACAGCTTGATCACGTACGTGTCTAGGGAGGGGAATTGGGAGGGGTGTGACACCTTCCCTGGGCCCTGTCCTGGCAGGATCTCAAGGGCCGCGGCCTACTCACTGGATCGCTGCGGCCCTCCCTCGGCCAGCCCATCCTCCATCTCCCTCCTCTTCTTCCTCCGCTGGTGGGGAAAGCGGGCAGAGGGCCTGTGTGGGGAAGGAGAAAACTGGGACCAGGGCGGCGGCTGGGGACCTCCTGTCAGCGGGCTGGGGATCCTGCCACCTTACCGTTTGCCAGTGGCTGCGATGGAACAGTCCCTGTGGGGAGAAACAGGGTATCAGTAGGCTGAGCCACATTCAAATGCTGTTCAAACCCCCCAAAGGGCAAAGGGCACCACAAATGGCATCCTGGGGATACTGAGTTCAAGTCTTGGAAGCTCACACGGACCCCACCAGCCCCTGGATACCACCAGGCCCCTGGGGCTCTAGCCGCCCACTGCAAGGGGACCTGCCGCAGGCTTTGGCCCTGCCGAGTATTGAGGATGGCTGTGGAGGGCTGAGTGGCTGGAGCGCCATGAAAGCAGAAGTATTTAGCCCAGATCCCCAGCTGCAGATCCCATCAGTAAAACTTACTTGTTGTGGGTGTCTGAGGGGGTCTTCCCTGCTTCCTCATCCAGACGTTCCCTGGAGCAAAAGAGAGCTGTGGGCTCAGGGTTCCGAGAGCCCAGTATGGGAAAGCACCAAGTAGACTCCCCACTGGGCACCTTCCTCCCAAAGCCAGCCTCTGGGGTTCCATCCAGATTACCACAGGGTCCAACCTGCCAGGGCCCCCAACCCTTGGGGCGCTATGCTAGGCCAAGTCCTCACCTGTCCATGTGACTTTTCTCTAGCAGACACTGAAGAACGGCATCCAGTTGGTTCCGGGCCTTGGCCATCTCCAGCTCTGAGGAAGAGGGTGAGAAGCAGAAGTCAGTTCCCAGGCCCCAGGCAGGAGGGCAGGGCTGGGGCGTGACTTCCACACTGGTCAGTCCTATGTCCCGGCCCAGGCATGCTGAGGGTACACAGGTACAGCAGCCATGAGTGAGAGCTCTGGGTTCCCAGAAGCTCCTATGTGAGCTTCACCTAAGGCAAGTCACCTCACAAACCTCACTGAGCCCGTTTCCTCACCTTGAATATGGTCTGAGTGATACCTACTTGCTCAGACCATTTTGAGGTTGAAATAAACTTAGGTTGTAGATAAATCTCTTAGCAGGATGCAATAACATTTGAATAATATGTACAAGGCACCTCATCTGCCAAGCATTGTCCAAGCACTTCTCTCACGTTAACTCACTGAATGCTCATAATAATCCTTGGAGCTAGATATGACTTTTTTTCTTAAATACCGGTTGTTGATGTTGTTATTTTAAAGACTTATTTATTTATGCACACAAGAGCAGGGGTGTAGGCCAGAGTTTTGGGAGAGAGGAATGATAGGATTCACCAGAGACAGAGTGGGGAGCAGAACAGCAGATCTACTGACATCCACTGCCGAGGGGGGCAGCGGGGAGACAGGAGAGGTCTGCTGCGCCCTGTGGGTCACTCCCTGGCCGGGGGCAGAACTAGCGATGCAGCGGCTGCAGACTGCTCCACAGTGCCGAGACTCAATCCTGTGGGCCACCAGGGAGACCCAGTAGGTCTGATTTTTTATCTCTATTTACAGATGATGAAACTGAGACACAGCAATGTTAGGCCACCTGCCCAGTCCCACAACTAACAAATTGTGGGGCGGGTACTTGCAGCTGGCTCCGCAGCTGAGGTTCTTAGGCAGAGGTGCAGACTGGTGTGGGAGCTAGCCTCCAGAGGCGCTTTGTTTGGGGCAGTGGTGGTATTTTAAATTACGTTTAAATTCAAATGACAATTTTAATAATTGGGGGTTTTTACCTAACATACACACTTTTGGCTTTTTCCCCCTCAGGAAAGGAGAGCTAAGCCCCCTTCCAGCATGCCACAGGCCCCTGGTTCACCTGACTCAGGTATGATCTCTGCCTGGTCCTGTCAGTCTATGTGTCTGCCTCCTGCTGTCCCAGCACTTAAGGAAGTAATGATGTTATAAATATTCGCCCCTCACCTTTATGGGGTATTTGCTCTTCTCTTCCAAATAGTGGGAGTTCTGGCTTAGTGCTCAGAGGCTGGAAGTATGGTAGGGGACATGCCTTGCCAGCCCCGGGGCTTCCTGAGGAGGCTTCGAGATGCAGGGATTCCTCATATCACCAAGAGGAGAGATAGGGCGTGTGTGGTGGGCTCCTGAGATGGTAGCAACGAGCTGCGGAGAGGTGGCATGCTCGTATTCCTCCCTCTCCCCCCTCCTCAACCTCATGTCTTGGGATCCCATGGACTCCTAGACTTCTCCTGGGGATCCTTCGGGTTCCCTCTGCCTATGGGGTTGCACCCTGGCCTCCTATACTAACCTGCCTGACCGTTCCTAGGGTCTTGCTTGCCATGCACACCACCTGTGTGTTTGCCTCTCTTTGTCACGAAACATGAGACGATGAGGACAGAAATATCCTCCTCATCCTTGAGGGGTGTTCCCTCTCCTCCCGCAACTAGGGGGAGTACTCATCCCCACCCATCAACCCATGGCGGGTCTACTGGCATGTCTTTCCTATCTACTCCTCCCTACTCTGATCCTTTGGGTCTCTCCTTTGACCTGGGTTCCGAGCCTCAGTCTTCCCCTCTGATCCACTCTCTACCAGGTTTCTTCCCTGCCCAAACCAAATCTGACGTGAGTTCGCCCCTCCATGACCTGCGCTTCCAGCGAGACATTCTGCGCTCCTCAGCCTGGTGTGCCCTGGCTTCCATGACACTGCCTACCCGTCTCTACCCCCAACTCCACCATTTGTGGCGAGGCCTTTTCCACCTGAATTTTTTGGCATTTGTGGGGCATCTTTATTGATTCATTCCTTGGTTCAGAACCCTCCTCTTGGCTCCCCATTTTCCACAGAATAAAGTGAAAGTCCTCACCTTGCCCACAAGATCTGTCCCCCTCCCCTCTTTCCGTCCCCATCTACCTCACTCACTCCGCTACAGTGACAGTGGCCTCCCTGCTGGACTCAGCATGGACACAAGGAAAGCACGTCCCTGTGTGATTCGCTATTTCCTCACACATCCTCACGCCTGCTGTCCTTACCTTCTCCTGTTTCCTCTTGTTCCCACCTGTACCATCTAACACATGACATCACTCTACCAATCTGCATTCCGTGCCCCTCACACCCCTCAGCTCTCCTGTTCCCATCAGTGTTGCCCCAACGCCAAAGGACGTTTTTTTCCTTCGGGCTCCATTTTCCCATACGCCAGAAGTTGTCCCTACTTCTTAGGGTTATTGGGATGTAGTGACCGCGAGGGCTGAAAGTTCCCCCGTACCTCAAGCGCTCAGCACAATGCTTGAACTCATCATCACTGATGGAAATGGGGAGACTGAGGCAGAGCCCAGAGTCCCTCTCACGGTCCCCAAAGGCGGGGGATCCCCAAGTCTTACCGCACCCTACTGCCCAAGGCGCCATTCTGTCTCAAAGCAACCTCGAGCAAAGAGCGGGAGGTGCAGGAACTCCTGACATCCCGCTGTCAGCTGGGCAGCAGGGAGAAGCCTCGCAGTTCGCCTTATCGCGACCATCCTATCTGGACTCCCACACAGATCACTGCGATGCTCCCCTAAGGCCCCTAGACTTCGGGGTCCTCACCTGATTTCTCCACTTTCACCTTCACCGGGAACATGGTTTGAGTCTGGGGTGTGGCTAGCCAGGTCAGAGAAGTCCCAAAGAGCCTAGGGTCACGAGTCAAGGCCGAAGACAGCCAGGGAAAAGTCGGAGGTGGCGGTAACCTGCCAGTCCCCCGCAGAGGAGCAGCGTCCAGCCGCGACCGCCGCCGCCTCTAGTTTCCCTTGGGGGGGGGGGGAGACAACTCGGCCGTCGCTGCTTCCCATTGGTCATTACACCTGTCGATCTTGCACCCTAACCAATTGACGGCGGCTGCTTTCACTCCCAGACCTAAGCCCCACCTTTTGGGGCGCGGTTTCCGGAAACGAACCAACGACACTCTTCCTGAGAGGTGTAGTTCTAGCCCCCGAGTCAGAGTAGGCGCTCCAGCGCCGCGCAAGGCACGGTGGGAGAAAATGGGGGCACCGCGGGGCTTCTTGGGACTTGTAGTGCCAGAGGCTTCGCGCGACACCTACTGAATGTCTAGCGATTGACAGGGTTTATTTAATTAGCCATATTAGTCCCTCTTGTTTTATAGCTAAGTCTCGAGTTAGGCTGATCCTTCGGACTGAACACTTGCCAAATGCGAGTTATCTGTTCATCTCTTTTCAGGCACAACCATTCATTTAGCAAATATTATTAATGTGCCACTCTTCTAGACATTGGGGACACCACAGTGAACAAGACAAAAAGCCCTTGTCCTAATAAAGCTTACCTATTAACAGATGGAAGATAAACGATAAAGAAGTGAAACATTTAAAAGGAGATGTAATAAGAGAAAGCCTGAAAGGGACATAGGGAGTTGCATGGTGATGTCAGAAATTTTAAATCAGATGGTTAAATCATCAATAGGTCGGACAAAATCTTCCTCGGAGAATAGGAAATTTCCACTTACAAAATATACCTTGGTCCAGATAAATTTTAGGAAGTAACATTGTGATCCATATTTCTAATGAGAATACTAAGGCTGAGTGGGAAAATATTTTCAAATGCACACACTAGCATTACAAGATAGCAGCCTCTTGTGATGGAATTACTATTCCTTTCTTGGTTCTGCATCTACAGAATAGGTTCCTCAGCAGAAAAGTTCCTGTTTCAGATTATAAGAAGTTTTCAGAGGAAAAAAAATGCATACATGTGAAGTACATACAAAGTAAGCATTCAAAAACATTTCTGAATATTAATGATTATTTTATGTTTTGCTGTCCAAAAGATTCCAAGAGTCTATACATGGAGGATAAGGGTCTTTTATTGGGCCATGTCAACAAAGAACAAAGGAGATGGGAACAAGTCTTAGGGGCTTGGGAGCGGGCCTGGAGTAGCAGAACCCATCCTAGGAGAATGAGCAGCTCCCTAGAACACCGCAGAAGGAGTTGTCAAGGGGTACCCAGGGGTATGGTGAAGGAGAGGTAGTCTCCAAGGGCACCCCAGCGGGGCCGGTAGATCTGGAAGATGGTGATCCAGGTGGTGAGTACAATCACCCAGAAGAGGAAGCCCACAGCCGAGCGCCAGACATCTATAAGAGAGAACAAGAATGGGGTAGGTGGGCCCCCTACAGCTCTCTGGTCTCCTTCAGACCAGCACTCTTTCCACCACCACAGAGCCCTAAATTTCATACCCACCATCATTCTCTCCACCGAAGGTCCCCAAGTTCTCCCTCCCACACTAGATGGCCTCCCTTCATCTGCGCCCTGGACTCACAGCCTTTGATTTGGCTTTGCTCAGTGTATGCAGGGACAATGAAGGCTTCTCGGAAGAACCAGAAGATGTTGACCAACCAGAGAAAAGGTAGGAAAGCAAACCCACCTAAAGAGGAAAAAGCAAGCTGAAATATAAAGCAACGAAGGCTCACCGCAAACCCCACCTGGAGGACCTATTTGGAAGGTCCTCTCCCCTACCCAAGTTCAAATGGAGATCTGTGTGCTCAGAAATTTAGGAATCCGTTTTTTTGATCATGTCTTCTCAGGACCCGGCCCTCCAACTCCTCTCCTATTTTGTGGCTCAGAAGTTGAGGGCCCAACCTCTTTCCTTCCTCAGGACACAGGTTCTTCCCTGAGACCCGGGAGCCCGCATACCCTGCCGATTCATCCCACCGACCTAAGAATCCAAGCTTCTTTGCCACTCTCCAAGCTCAAGCCCCCTCTCTTCTCCTGATCCAAGACCACCTCTTACCCAGGTAGTATTTCCGACAGAGGTTCAGCTTCTCCTCGTTGGACACTCGCTCCAAGTTCATAGTTGCGATGAGGCTGGGTCGTCCCGAGGGTCTGCGGGGCGAGCCCCAAGCCTTGACCCTAAGTGACAGATGCGAGGATCCCGAACAACCACACCCCTATTACGACAAAACTGAGATAAACGGAGGGGTGGGTTTGCTGAAAGGAGACTACCCCGCTCTCACCAGAAAGCTGTCGGGTTAAGACGCTCTTTGTTCACTGCGGTACGCAGAACGAGCCCCCCACTCACCAGGAGAGTCTACTTCCTCTGGTTGGTACGCCTGTGCCACTTTCAACTAATGACGTTTGCGCTAGATGCCACCGCAAGTACCTCTGGTACTTGTAGTCTTTTTTAGTGCGGCACCGCAGCACGCATGCGCCTTCAGGGCCCTCCACGGGTGAGCGAGAGGGGAGGGCGCTGGCCTCCAACACGCAAGCGCACTAGCGCGCTTCTGAGCGCGGGGTGATCGTGCGGAGGCCGGGACGAACTACACTTCCCAGTGCCCTTAAGCAACGGAAGTCAAGTGTGAGCAGCGAGAATTGGAGGGTTCGGCTAAAACTGGCCGAATATTTAGCTTCGATATTCGGGACTGAGAAGGGCAAGTGAGAACGGGCGCAGGGAGCGACCCCTAGGGAAGCCGAGTCTGGGGCACTTGGTTTCCAGTGGTGGGTGGCTCGGGGCGGTGTTTCTGGGGTGTCCGGGCTCCCCGGCCCTCGGTTCACCTCTATCTTTGCACCTCTTCCAGGGTTAAGTCCTCTTTTTTACTTTAAGATCGGGGCCTGCCGGGCTCGGGGACAGGTGCTCCCGGCTTCACAACAAACCGACTTTCAGCCAGGTGAGACACAGGTCCCAGCCTGGGGCGGGGCGGGAGTTGTTGAGCCTCCGGGCTTTCCCCTTTTGTCGTCCAGTGTCACGAGGTCCTGCCCTTTCCGGATTTCTTAGGCCCGCCCTAGCCCAGCGTTTTTCTGGTCGGACCTCTGGGGTTCGTCCCCAGGCCCTGCTCGCGGGGACGTGGCCACGCCCCCGTAGTACAGCCCGCTCCTCACTGCTGGGGCTTTTGGTTTCCTTAGGAACGAACCCCGCGGATGCACTCCAGATGCTTGGGCTTCCTCCTCGTGCAAGGTCCCAGCCCCAACCTACCACGCCGGCCGCGTCGCATGCAGCCCCGCCCACTAAGCTCGGGCCCGCTCCTTTGAAATTCTGTTCTGACCATGGCCCTGCTCAGCCTGTACCGAAATCCACAGAACACCGCCCAAAACGCAGACTGATCGCACTGTGAGTGAAGGAAAACAGACTGCAGTCTTGGGCCCCGGCTGTCGCCAAACTACCATCTTAGGCAAGGACAAGGGCCCGCCTCATGATTGGGTGCTTCCCGCTTCCTATTTCTCCCCTTCCCCCGTGGCATTGACTCTCCCGTCACACTTCCCGCCTGACCGTGGCCCGACCAGTGGGCACCCCTGATGTACATACAAGCTCAGCTCTGAAATAAAATTTGGCTTCCCGGTGAACAGACTCCCGGCGTCCGTCCCTCCTTTCCGCCTTTTCCTTTCATTGGTGCCGAAACCCGGGAGGAGGCGACCCTCTTTGGGCCCTCGTCCACCGCCTGCTCTCCTTCCCCACTCCTGGACGCCTGAGACTGTTCACCCTCGTCCACCATTTCGGCGCTGGCTTCTTACATCCACTACCGGACATTGCTCGGGTGAGTCTCCCCTTCCCAGGACGACAGCGGGGTCCTTGGCCGTCATTGTCCGGCAAGCCCCCTACGTCCTAGTGAGCGGGATCACACCCCACCACAACCTTCACGGTTACGGTGGACCCCGAACCTCCATTCCTTTAGCCGGCTTGACAGAACACTGTCATTCACTGTTATAGTCCTTCTCATTTCTACACCCCTCCTCCCTTTTTTCCCTCAGTCCCTTCTCCTTTCTCTCTTCACTATCTGGCTCTTTGTCATCTCCCTTTCCCAGATCCAAGGCTTTCCTGGTCGCCAGGCGACCATCCTCCTGGGAGGTCTACACAGACCTCCCAGAAAATCCTAGCCGGCTAGGTATTCCAAGGCGCCAGCTTAATTGCCCCCAGGTGGTCTGCCGGTGACGACCCGCCTGATCATCTGGTCCCCGTCCCAGGGACCTCCCCCGCCTGATCATCTGGTCCCCGTCCCAGGGACCTCCGGTCCACTAAGTCGGTCTAGGGGACGCCCTACACCCTCTTAGTGCCATTGTCACCCTTTTGCCCCGGAATCCACGACTTCCCGGCCTCGGACTCTCTTCTCCTTCCACTTCCTATCCCATCTTGGATCCCCAGACTCTTTTACTCATTCTCTCTGTCATCGCCTTCCTCCTCATATTCCTTCTCGCCTTCTCTTCTTTCCTGTGTGACATGCTTTGCCCCATTACAAATCATGGGCAATTCACAGTCAACTGCTCAAGTCACTCCATTAAAGTGTCTCCTAAAACATCTCTCCACACTTTCACTTGCTCCCGACATCAAACCCAAGACCCTTATCAAATACTGTAGTCAGGATTGGCCTAAATACCCATTAGATAATCACTCTCAGTGGCCCCCTGAGGGCTCACTTCAAGATTCAGTAATTACTGATCTTTTTTTTTCTTACAACAGTTTATTTTTACATCATTTTGTACCTTTTTTTT